ATCACATGATCTCGATGACGCAACAATATATTTACCCCTTCTCTAAATATACGCCCTTCCTTAACTGAGGTCTTATAACACGAAAATTTGGGTCTAGAGCCCTGACTTGGGCAGAACATAGGTAGCCCATTGTGCAGCTTTGTGATTAACACACACACACTTATCCTAATATACATATAACTTAACACAATGTTTTGGGACCTGTTGGTCCATCTCGGCTGTTCCATTCCATAAACTAAATTAAGATAATTTAAAAAAATCTTAAAGCCAGCCCTTATCATTCATATACTTATCAAGCTTTTTCTTAAACTCACTTAGATTTACTGTCACTACAACATGCAAAGACAACCCATCCCAAAGGCCAACCATCCTGTTAGAAAAATGGAACTGTCTTAGCTGAAGATAACTCCTACCTTGCGAAAATTTATATTTGTGTCCCCTAGTCCTACTATTCTTATTGTTAAATATAAAAAAGATAATACAGCAACACTATCAATTCCCTTTAAAATCTTAAACACCTCAATCAGATCCCCCTAATCTCCTTTTTCAAGAGAAAACAATTTAAGTTTGTTTGTTTTTGAATTTCGCGCAAATCTACACGAGCTACATCTGCGCTAGCCGTCCCTAATTTAGCAGTGTAAGACTAGAGATAAGGCAGCTAGTCATCACCACCACCGCCAATTCTTGGGCTACTCTTTTACCAACGAATAGTGGGATTGACCGTAACTTTATAACGCCCCCGCGGCTGAAAAGGCGAGCATGTTTGGTGTGACGGGATTCGAACTAGCGACCCGCAGATTGCGAGTCGAGCACCCTAACTACCTGGTCATGCCGGGCCTAACAATTTGAGAGATTTCAGTTTCTCGTCGTATGACAACCCCTCCATCCCAGGCACCATTCTAGTAACCCTTCTCTGAACCCCTTTCTAACCATTCAATGTCCTTCCTAAGGTAATGAGCCTAAGACTGAACACAATATTCCCAATGTGTCCTAATCAGTGACCTGTACAATGAAATTATATCCTCTTTTGACTTGTATTCAATATTTCTGTATATACAACCTAAAATCCTATTTGCCCTACCACTAGCAACACCACACTGCTTGGATGGCTTTAGAGACTGATCGACTATAACACCAAGATCCCTTTCCTTTATAATACTGTTGAGATTATTCTCATCCAAATTATACTTATAATTCAAATTATGATAACCCACATTCATTATCTTGCATTTATTATAAATAAAATAATAACAAAACATAATATATATATATTCAAATATTTACATCACCCAAGTGAGAAGACATGGTTATTTTCTTTCTTTTTACATAGAAAAACGTAATTTTTTTTTCTAAAATTTGTCTTATAGTTCAAATTAAAATTTACACAAAATTGAAATAACCCATTTGAAGTCTTTAGAAAAAGGTTCAATTTTTGCCTAGTTAAATTTATGAATACAACAAAGTTAATAATATCAATATGGTATACCAAAAACATTTCGTACACTGTTATGAGCATAGAAAAGTTGCATCACGTATCTTCTTGTCTTCATAAAAGAAAATGCATTGTGAACGTCCTATAAATATTGACATTTAATTTGTGTAATGCTACCGACATCTATGAGAAGAAACAACGAATTAAGTGTGTTGATTGCATACTAGAGATACAGTACATATATATATTTATTTACGATTCACTCATTTTGTTGTTGCTTGTGAGTTGAATTAGGCATAGAGTTGGTATTGGGTTAGAGACACACAAAAAAATATTTTTATAAAAATAACTATCAATTATTTGTATTTGCATAACTTGAAATGGCAGGGTGTTTAGATAATATTCACATTAACAGACCAGAGTGGCTGGAACTAGGGGAAAAGAGAAATGCTGTGGCTTCTATTGGAGCTGGAACAATGGTAAGCAAATTTACTTAAAAATAAAAGTTAATGTTAAACTGTTGAAGCTGAAAGGCAAATTGTGACAGTGCCGTATTATTGAGTATTAATTTACTGTAGACCTTAGATTAGGTTAGCGACAACATTTGAAATTAGACGTTACTCAGACATTAGCCCATGGTCTGACACTAGTAGTACGTTTATAATAATAATAGTATGATGACTAATTTCTAGTGATGTTACTAATGTTAATAATAACTAATCTACACAACAACAAATAGAAATAAAGTGGGCTTCTTTACAGGTTTTAATTAATAGTACTACTACTAGTATGATATTACTGTTGTAATAATAATAATTACATAGCTCAAAATGCTAGGCTTAAAGTTAAACTTCTTTTACCAACTATTGTAACTAACCTGATGAATTCTATTAATGTATTATTATTCTTACTATTATTGTGTAAAAAACTGAAAATAATAGGAAAACAAATAATTGCAACTAATGATCTGAATGAAACTGAAAGGCAATAAATAACACTTTTCAAGGAACAGGAAACTGGTGACAACACGTGAAGCAAACAACCAGTTTTTGTGTTTTGAATGAAAGATCTAATCTTTCTTTCATGTTTCATTAATAATAATGGTTAAAATCTTTAATGTATGTAGAATATTTATAGTATTGATTATGTGTACTTTTTATTATGAAGATTTTGCATTATTACCTTATTTTGCAAACTTAGAACTAATTTGAATTCCTCAAATTGGCTGTATGTCATAGATTTTTATCTATTGAGATTATGGCTGAAAATATCACTAAAGTGTCCCCCGAACTAACTAATCAACATATTCTAAGCATTACAAGTTTCTGTCTCATGACATTACAGGGGTTATACCAGCATATTAAATTAGCTGCATTAATTAATGGGTTAATTTTTAGTTCTTGCTTTGATGAGAAGTTAGGATGTTTAAAAGTCTGTAAATGACCTTATGTGAGTATGAAAAAAATTTTTCAATCCTTGATTAGCCAGTCTCCTTAAAAAAAAAAAGTTTACTTTAGACTGATACACAGTTTTGTCATGACTGTTGTGACATAACTTTATGAGAAATGTAGCAAAATTGTAACTGATATTATGAACATCTTCGTATACCACACCTACTTTACAGTGTTGATAAACTTGTATCCAAGCTTTAATACATGAGTGGTTTAATACACGCTCACACAGGGGTGGACTGGACTCTAAAAATTCTACTGGGAAGGAAGATAGAGGGGGTCCACAGATTTCTCATAAAAATGCATATTTAGGAAGTATATGTAATTTAATGTTAAAACACTAGTCATACATACTTCACATAATCGGCAAAACACAGAGGAGATAACGTCTTCCACAGAAATGTGCATCATTATAGGTAGAAATTAACATAATTGTTAATTTAAATGTTAATGTGATGAGATAAACAAATAATTATTTCTCTGTTATGGTGATAAGGAATTATTATATTTTTTGTGTATTTTTCTTAAGGGACCCATTGGAATTATTCCCGATGTCCTGGTGGGCCAATCCATGCTTTTGCCCATGATGTTTATTTAAAATTTGTGTTGTGTGCTTATTGTTATACTGCACTGGAAGCACATGTTTCTGTTTATTCTGTGTTTTGTGCTAAATATGACATTGTATAAATAATCCTGAAAATTTGTTATTCTTTACTTAAATTCCAGTAAAATGCAATACACATGTACTTGTTCTGACTTATTATTACTATTAATACTGTGTATTTGTTTCATTAATTTTATTGAATATGTATTTATATTGTAACTTGTTTGGTAAGGAAAAAGAGAAAAGCCTTGAAAAATTAATTTTATTGTAATTTTATTTTTCAGTTCTTTACAGGTTGGTGGATTATCTTGGATGTGGCAGCTAGATACCCTAGTATGGATGAGTTTCACCATGCTTACCATGTCTGTGGAGTGATGAGTACATTATCTCTGTTCATGTATGTATGCTGATTTCTTACTGTCACTTTTAACACTGACAAGCCTATAATATCGAGCGTTATGTTGAGGTAGCATAGATAATTTTCATCTTTGTTGTGTGTACAGAAATAACACATGAACGCTACATTGCTTAGAGATTTCACTGAGATTGATAAGATTTATGAAAACAGAAAATTGGTAGATCAGTGGAGATGAGTCTTTATAAAATATTTTTATCTAACCTTTAAGGATTTAACTTAGTTGTTTTTTTTTGTTAATTCATTTATTTGGTGTGATTTAGTTTTATTTGAATTATACAAACATAAGCCTGTTATATGTGTAATAATTTATTCATTTTTACTACTTTGGTTGAGATCTTTTGGAAGCATATACACATGTAATTGTGATTAATTCAAACTATCAAAATAACAAATAAACCTCAAGTTACCCTGTAAGATAAATCAAATCAAGGAGAAAGAAAATTGTCTGGCTATGAAAAGTCACACCTCACCCACTAAAATAATCAATGAAAACATTATAACAAACTACTTGTTTAAGATATTAAATGAATCCGTTTAGTAATTAAACTAGTCCAACAAAACCTTAAAATATATGTAGTTCAATTTACAAAAACCATTAAGTACTTCATGAAGTACACCTCTAAAAAAACTATAAGTTAATTTATATAATAATGTGAAAGATGTTATTTTTTAGTGCCAAGACAAGTGTTACTTACTTATATTCAAATGTATTAATTTCATCCTTATGAAATTCCAACAAATTTAAGATCATCCAAGCTATTAGCATTCACCATCAGTTAAGTGATTTCACAGTATGAAAAAGAATTCTGTATGAGAACCTTTCAAAGGTCATACATATTGTAAATGTTTTGCAACTCTTGTGGTAGAAGTTATTATGTAATGATTATCTCTAATAGTTAAGTTTCTATTACTATATTGTTGATTCAGAAGTAAGTCTACTTTATGTAGTATGTTCATGTTTTTAAAATTTTTCACTAGCAAAAAAATGAAGGCCACTGTTTCTCTTCTTGTAGGTTTTAGAGTTTAGAGCTGTAGCTATCATATTAAAGATAATCTGAAAAAATGCTGGTGAAATGTTAGGAATTCAAATTTTTAATAGGCAAAGGGAAGGTCAACAATGTAAAATATGTTTTTCTATTTGTTGATTTGTTTTCTTCTCTATAGTTCTTTGTTGTAAATTGAAATTCATCTCAGCTACAAATGATGGCAATATTAAGTACAGTTTTATCATGAATTTAGAGATATGTTATTTAACACAATATCTGTTTTTAAAGTTAAACATAGCTTAGTATATGTGTATTATTGGCTAAGATTTAGGAGTAGATGCAAGTGTGATAATTAAAAATCATTTTCTTACTTGCCGTATCAATCCTAGTTTTCTTAATTAAGTGTTACTCATTCTAGATGATGGATATTTATTTTGTGAAGTACGTGTATTTTCAGAATCATTTCTCATACTCTCATTCACCAAACACTCCCTCCTGTTTTCAATGAATTTTTAATCCATAGGTCTTACAGGATTTTTGCAATGTAGATGACTGAACACAATCAATGAAGGGAATCACACTCCCTTGAAAATATGTGTTTTTGTTGGTAACTTGTTTTTCATTTGATGAGGAAACCTGTTTGTAGAAGTGATGGTACTATCACCAAGTAACACTGAGGATAGGTTGAAATATTAATTATTGAACTTCGCTGTTGGTAACTTGTAGGGATGATGGTACTATCACCAAGTAACACTGAGGATAGTTTGAAATATTAATTATTGAATTTCACTGTTTATTAT